TTTGGCCATATCCTATTTTAAATTAATCATAGTTTCCCTGGAATTATCGAGAAACCCCATCTGTCCCTCAATCGAAATTGGAACCTGCGACGTTCGGCCAGGAATCTATCTCGAATTCGCAGACCTGGTGTTCAACAAACAAGCGCCCGTCACAATCCCTCTACTGGTCAGAGACTAGAATTTCTCAACGTGCCACGTGCACAGGACTAAGCAGTAGCTGGAATCTAAATGGAATCTGTCTCTTCCAGCCGTCCATGATTCCAGCAGCGGACATCGGCCAAGAGTTACTCGCCTCTCCACCCTCTACGTACATTTTATACAAAGCGTTCGGTCTAAGACCGCGGGCTTAGACGGGGAACTTCTCCATTCCGACCACGCTTGTTCGATAATCTATAAGAAGGACAGATTCCTCTGTCCTTAAGCCGGTATCCCCTACCCCATCTGCGTCTTATTTCGCTTGCTGCTTGCCAACCACTGAATTGGTACTGAAGCAAGAGACTACTGGATGCGATGTAGCGATGATGCTGGGAGTTCAGATATGTTGGCAAATAATAAAATATAAACAGAGTACTTTACCGATCGATAATTTTCGTATTAAAAAATAATTAAAACATTTATGGAATCTATTAGCCCTTAATCTGATCCAGATAAATCATCTTTACACGCTCGTATCCTATTCTAATATTATCCCCGTAGTTGAGTCAGTGTCTTCCTAGCAGGCTCTTCTATTCAGACTTTCAAAATACAATTTTTCATGCATGTCTAATCTCTCCCATGACTGCTACATATTCTGTCCATCTCTCCATCCTTGATTTGATGACCCTGATAATAATAATCTGCGAAGAATACAAATTACGAAACACCTCATGATATAGCTTCTCCATCGTCTTTGTATTTCCTTCCGCTTAGGTCTAAATGTTAAATGGAAGATTATAATTAGCTTAAAGATTCCGTGTAGATTTCTGAAATCTGCAATTGGTAATATTTGTTGGCCATTTAAAAGGTAAATAGCTGCAGATAAAACCTAGAAGAGCTATAGAATTACAGCTTTTAGTATCATCAGTCGTGTACGGAGAGACCAGGTTTCAAAACGTAACCTAGACACAAACCAACGCGTACTCTTACTTGGCATCGAATACTAAATTCATTGCTATCTCTTTGATGAACATCCTATACTTTAAGGTTAGCAGTCAGGAAGTCAGGCAAGCAGCAGGAAGGTTGGGATGCTGGGAATAGATGGGAGGAGCGTTACCACAGCAACCGAATCTTGCCAGCTCGCCCGCTCATCTCTACTCCAGCGAAACTGCCTGCCTTTACTCCACTTCCAGCGTGATCCCGCCTGCCTCACTAGACCTCACGCACAGCATACAGTGCAGGCAACCCGCACCACAACTTTCTCCCTCTTCGTCCCGCTGTTTGAGCAATTCCCAAAGATTTCCGGCCATGCTGCTGTTCTTAACAACAGACCAGACAGTCTCTTCTCACAAAATGGCCGAACGAAACGTCTCTACGACAAAAGCTTGAAATATGAACTAACCTCGAAAGGAGAAAACTCTTTCGCAGAATTTAGAATGATATTTCCCCGAATGCATTTCCTGTGCTACGTGTATTGAAAACGTGGCAGTCATTTCAGCGAACTGGGAAGTATTTTGAAACGACTGCTTCTTTGAGTGTAACGTTTAGCTCTGGGTATCGCCTTTGTGTACATTCAGGTATGCATGGACTAGCCTTTCCGTAAAATAAAACAGATCTTAAGAAGCGTAAGAAATACTGTTCTCGGATTTTAAAACAATGGTATCTGGATGGGTCATGACGACTCGGCGAACGAAATTAATCGAAGATGCAGAAAAAAAAACACTGAAAATATCGACTAATTTACACATTTTACGGGAAAAAAACACTAAAAATATCGACTAATTTACACATTTTACGATCACAAACATAACGAGGATGAAAACAATAAGTTGTCGTAACAAATAGATTATATAGCCACGGTGGTCTAGTGGTTAGAACGCTGGCCTTGTAATCCTGGGGTCTCGTTCGATTCCCGGCGGTGCCCGAATTTATAACTTGTGTTGGGCAAGGCCGTGGTCTAGGCAACACGGAGTTTTCCTCCGGGGGCTACCCCGGTTTCTCCGTGGCATCCCAACAATTACTCCATTCACACACAGAAGAAGGCAATGGCAAACCACTTCTGGATCATCTGCCAAGAACGTATATGAACAGGTCCCAGTCCGAGAAAAGGATGGAAGGATCCTGTTCATATGGACCTGTCGTCGGACAGAACACGAAATAAAAATAAACAAATAGATTATTGTTGAAACAAATGGCGACTATAAGTTCTATTCCTTGAAACATTTTCTAAGGATAAATCTAGACCGAATTCCATATAAGGCGCCAGAAAGAAGAAGCATAAGATGAGCCAAGAAATGGTTGGAGGACCAGTCTAAATAGTAGAGACGGGGCAGGCCGACTGGCGTAAGACGGAGAACTCAACCAGCCACTCAAGGGCACAAAACATTCTTTTTAATATTATGTCGTCGTGTGTAATGAAACATAGTTACCTAACAGAATATGTTTTGTTGGTGTCAGTATTTGGCAGTAACTTCCACTGTGAACAAATGTTCAGCTTATTTAAGAATGTAAATTCAAAAACTACGGCGCGTCTAACTGATGAACACTTGAAGTAATAGATGCGAATATCAACAGAAATTGAGCCAGATATTGAAAAATTACTTACACAAACAGTGTCAAATACATCACTAATGACTTCTTTTGTCACATTCAGTAATAAATGGTCCAGTTTACAACAATAATAATTTTAAAATTGCAATAAGGTTTCGATAAATTCTCATAATTTATAATCGTGTTGCTCGCTAGTCGATATGTAACGATGTGAATGCGTTCTAAGGACTGGGAAATGTTCAGAACCTTTAGCCTAAGTTACAGTGTTACTGATGGTACCATATTAATTCTGACTGAGGAAACGCGATACTTGACATATTGTACTTGATTTGCGTCACGTCACAGGTCCGCCTGGAACGGCGTCCTTCCTCAACGACAGCTGCAGCGACACAGAACCTGGGAGTTTGCACGCAGGGCCTGGGGGAGACGGCTATCACCCTCATACTCACCCCCAACCACCCGCACCCGGCGATCAGAATTGTGATGACCATCACCATCACCATCACTTCCTCCCCATCAAAGAAGAACTTCTAGAGAACGAAGACACGGCGTTCTACAGCAACAAGAGCGCGGAGGTGAACGACAACCAACACCCGGTGCACACGCACCAGCAAGACTTCAACTCAGGTAATGCACACTCACGTTTATGTGAATTGAAACCCATCGTTATCTGCGAACTAGCTCGACTGACTTCATCTTTATAACCTGACACAAAGTCCAGTTTAACATTAATTACAGTACACATTTTAATTCGTTTTTGTTTGTTTGTCATAAGTCTACCGAATTCTTTGATGCGGTCCTACATTTTCGCCTATCTTGCGCCAATCTCTTCATTTCCACATCCTCAAAAATCTGCGTCACATATTCCAATCTTTGTCTCCCCCTACAATTCTTCCCTTCAACTGTTCCTTCCATTACCAAATTAACCAATCCTGGGTGCCTCAGAATGTGTCCCACCATCCTATCTCTTCTTCTCATAAGACTTTTCCAAACTTCTTTTTCGCTATAATGAAGCCGTTAAAAGCGTCCCATTACTGCATGTTCTTTGTAAGACATTACGCAAACAAATATGATAGATTTTAGGTTAACTGTGGTGTTCTGGTTTCTGGTAAAATGTTCCTTTATACCAGTTATAGACGTCTTGAGACGTAACGCTGATATCAACTGTCTGTGTCCTTGCTCGTGTAAGAAATTAAATGTCTCTTTGCATGAAACTTTAGAAACTGCTCCACAGGCTGAGAAGTGCAGAGCCTCCGATATATTACGAGCCATTTCCTCAACATATTCCCCCATCTTACGAGCCTGGTTCACATGCCCCAACTAGAAGACATACTACACAGTCAGCTTGTACCGTAATATAGGTCTATAAGTGAAGATATGTAGGATTTATCCTTTTCACCCCAATCGTACTAGCTCCATTTCACCCTCGCCTTAAACCCCATATATGAAACAATCTTCCCTCATACTTGACCCCTGCTGCGCGCATAGGCTGTACAGTACACAAGTGTACGGATACAGGAATCGTCAGAGACAGCAAGTTTCATAATTTCGTACTCGATTTTCACATATAAAGTTATTGACCTATTGTATTGACAAAGATACAACAATAAATGATGCCATCGAGTGGTACGACATTCTGAATGATGAATTATAAGAGCTATGTAAAGATATGGTCTTGCATTATATTAGCAATTATTCCAGAGTGAGAGTTCTTTACCATGAATTGCTGAATTATTGTTTAAAATTCATCATAACATTTTCGGAGACACGTAATATCTTCATGTGTATGTGAAACATGTGAAAGTATTTATAAAAGTAACAAATAACTTTTAAGGCATTTTATTGCTGAAATATTCTGTAGAATTTCAGCCGTTCAAACTACGCATTATGGACCTTCGCCAATCCGTTCCATTTTAGGGATGTGTGGGATCAAGATTTGACCCTGAGATTGACTTTAATTGAAATTTCTTCAGTTACTTAAGAATAATTACTACGACAGTACAATGAAACAAGCCACGTTAACATCCATACTCAACTTCCTCATTTAATTACAATCATCCACAAATCTACGCGATACAACCTCTTTAGTCAAGAAATATCTCTAGACAACTCTAAAATTTATCATAATATTGATATATTTAAATAATTAATTTGCAGAAAGACGAGTCACGTGTGTCTCTAACACATCAAATACGGATAGCCTATCCGTTACATTCCGTTATTGCAGCTATGACTCGGAACGCTATATCATTATAACGAAAGACAAAGTCTTAGCTCTGGCTGAAGACGTACACTAATTATAAAAAGCAATATTAACCCCACCCACATATAATAACATATATAAATATCTCAAAAGTTCATGACTGACAAATGTAATAACTGGGGTTTCGAACGTACAATAAAGAACAATAATAATATTAATAATTACACTAATAATTGCTTCTATGAGTAATAATTCAGGGTTACAGAATAAAATAATACTATTATTAAACTGTTTAAGTAATTGTCTTGTTAACCAAAAGCAAAGCTGTAACCTTCTGAAAATTCAGAGAAAAGAAATGGCTGTAACCACAGCCGAACAACATCTTGAACATTCTTTCTGACGGCACAGAGGAAGAAAATAATGGCGGACGAAGATGAAGAAAACACTTTATCGCAATATGTTGCCGTCATTAATTCCACACTTAATGGCTTTCCTTACCCTTGCAGCGACAACTCGGCACACTCTGGCGGGAACACAGAGAAATTCAAAAATTAAGGGAAATAAAATATCGAAAATCGTTTTGCCACATTGTATCTCTAAATACAGGGATGTCAATATGTAAATTATGAATTCATCTTCAGATTTTACAAAACTCTGCTACCGCAGCTGAACACTTTTCTATGGAAAATTAGTACGGCAAGCTGATGAACATTGGTATTGTGTAGCAAGAAGAAGAAGAAGAAGAACGCTCTGTCTATCTTACACAGTTAATTGTCTCTCGCAGGAAACCGGGAAGTGTTTTAGAATATTTTTCCGACTGTGTTTGCTGATGACGTACTGTTGCTAAAAACTGTCATGTAATCAAACACAACTAACAGGTGTACATGTGAACATAGTAAATATAATCTTAAAACATGAAATTAAAATTTTGTGTGTGTGTGTTTGTGTGTATGTTCGCTGATACCTCGAGAACGTATAAACCAATTTGTCCTAAGTTGATATACTTATTCCCTGAAAGGTCAAAACTCCTAAAATGTATCCTGGGTTCAAAACCTGATAAAGTTTCTTTTATATACCCTGGAAACCAATCACACAATACGTCGCTGGCGACCGGAAGTCGAGAGTCGCGATGCTTTCCGTCCCGAGGCCGACAAGAGATTCAGACGCTGGGAACCCAACGCCTGTCGTATTTAAGTAATTTTCTCTATTTAATTTGGCTCTACATTTTTCCCAAGTTAATACGTCTTCAAATATCACGTGCACCAACCAGAAACCACAGTTTTCCGATCTCCAAGGACATTAATGTTGCTGGTTGTACTTCTTTGTTTTGACCCAAATCATTGAAAGGTGTTCTATTTTGCCTGAATTTAAATAAGTTCGGTACTCGTGACCCTCCTAATAGTCACCGCTGTGCATATAGAAGAAAATATAACAAGGTAAAATTGTTCTGGGAAATAAAATGTTACTCGGGGGAAACTAACTCCCCTATAGGAAGACGACAGGCCGCCTTCTAGCGTCCTATCTTTTCATTTCCAAGACTACAACGGAAGCTTGAATGGAGAATCAATGGCAGGGGCTAAGGAAAGACAAATGACTATCAGAGAACCGACAGTGGCGCGGTGTAAGGCGGGGCTCAGCGGAGATTAAGACGAGGTGCGTGATGGTTCTGATGGCGATCGGATGGTACGTCACGAGGGGATAGAGTATTCGTTCTGTTGTTATAAGGAGACGAGGAACCAGAGATAACAGTACTTTTTTCGACGTTGCATTTTCATTTCTCAATTCCGTCAGTACCATTATCATCGACTCCCTTTTCACCCCCTCCCCCCAAATAGATATAAAGTCTAATAGGTTTTTTTATAGCATATAATCTAACCTTTTGTACAATGCAGTCGATCTTGACTGTATTTTTCGACTTATGTTAGCCATTTGAGCAAGTCGTGTCATCGGATAGGAGTCAGTTTAGCACGCTAATGCCTTTACTGTCTCTCAATTCCTTCATGAGGGTGATAGGAGTGTCTTTTTTTGGAGTAAAGATACAACTCAACACATTTCTAACCTCAGGTGAGTTGATACCTATGTCATCCTTCTGGTTTTTCGAATAAAATTTTATCTGCATTACTCATCTCTCCCATGCGTTCTACATTCCTCGCCCTTAAAATCCTTTTGATAATAGTAATAATGTCTGATGAGGAGTTCAAATATTGTATCTTCTCCTTTTACCAACATCTCCGACGTCATTTCACTTCATTCGTTTTAGGTCCCCATATCTTCACCACACTGCTCTCAATCACCTTTTATTTAGGAATACGACTCTCTTCTGGGATGCTACGCCGTGTATCCCGTTAAAAATATGCCGACGTTTCAGAGGTGTTTACTGCTTCCATCATCAGGGCTATCGCCCATCTGAAACACATATAAATTTCTACCAGGATACACTTTAAAATATCCTAGAAGGCTCCATACTCGTCGTCGTGAGGACCTGAAATCTCACATTTAACCTATGTTTTTTTAATGTAAGATATTAGATTTCACACCCATACACAACAACAAATAAAATCACGGGGTTCATGAATTGCTAGCAGCTGGTTGTCACGAACGGACATACTTCACGACAAAAACGTATCAGGTGTCTAATTGTATGAGGAAATATTTTCTATCAGATTCTTACATGCTTAGAGCACATCATTAGTTTGTAAGTGAAAATTAGTTCCTCGTGACAAATACACGTTGACCTGGACTCGGTAATCATACATCAGATGTAAATCGATTTTGGAGGTTATCATTTCCTCCCACATGAAATTAAAGCCACGGTTTTCCGTATAGTGGACCGATTATTTATCTCATTTCATTTTATTTCACTGGTTAATTATTTCTTTAATAGGACTATAAAGCTAAATTCCGTACATATTATTTTAGGTTTTTACGATTATTAATTTTTAATGGTAGGAACATTTATAATAATCCGCTCGGAATTTTATTATTATATTTTTGCAATTTGAACTGCATGTCAATGATTAATATACCTTACGCCCTCGGTTACTTAAATATCTATCAGTTCTATACCACAAGCAAATAACTGCTCACTTATGAAAAGTCGTGGTTAAGAGTTTACGCCAACTACAAACCAACATCCCGTTTTCAATATGTCCCATAGGCATAGGCTACATTACGTTATACAGACCCGATTCCTAAGTTGTTAACGAAATTACAAAATTGCTGACTGATTTTCCGAAACTATTTTTTTCAGAGACACATAATCAAGGTAGGAATAAAAATTGTGTAAGTAAGATTTCAGGTTCTTACCATTAACTAATTCAGTATCACAAGACGTAATGTTGGCTTTATATAACAACATTTAATATGGTGCCATAAAACGAAGCTGTTAATCCCATAGTAGTTTCGACCTATATTCTCCTATTATTTTGTTAACTTAGGAGTCGTTTGGTACTGGCTGGTCCACTGAAACGTGTTATTTTTAACATAAAAATCAGTTTTCCTTGTCAATCTGTAGTGTAAAAGATGTCTGTTTGCTTATTTTGTTGACAGGGGGCAGTCAACACGACGGCAGTAAAATGGACAACGGGTTTATCGGCTACCCCTACAACGGGGGTGAAAATGCGTCACTGGAGTCTAACAACCACCATCATCCTCACCACCATCACCACCATCATCACCATCACAATCACATATTCCTTCACCAACAGGCTCCGTCTCTTCAAGGTCTGAACCCGATTGACCGACTGTACTCAATGCAGACTTCGTACTTCTGCGGTGAAGAATCCTCTCTCGCAGATCAATAATCGATATCCATGTGAATTTTTGCGTTCGTCATAAAAAAGTGATATGGCTTCTCAGCTGTGAACTTCCTTTACGGATTACATAGTCTACTGTTTTGGTGTACATGACCTTTGATCTTCAGGTACTTAAGGACTGACGATGGCATCTCCTTTGAAAGGGATTTTAGAAGTAACCACTAAAACAAGATACTTCTTTCTGCTTCTTATTCGATGGTCTGATATACGCTATAGGCCTATACTCTCCCTTAAAGTGGCAAACGTGACTTTCGAACCTAAAAGTAAGACTAAAATGTCTCTTGCAAGATTTATACCGGATAGCCTATTGGATAAAATTATATGTACCTTGCTTCATAAATTCCAGCTGAAAGGTAAAATTAATAAAATCTTCTCGGACAATCAGCCGCGTTAGCTGGTTATCGTAGTAAACCGACGTTTTGAGAACAAACTCTGTCCCCAACTTCAGAGTTGCACAGGCGACTTCCGAGGATCCAGTCACATCAGAACCCTGAAGATGGGGACAGAGTTTGTTCCCGTAACGTCGATTTACTACGATAACCAGCTAACGCGGCTGATTGTCCGAGAAGATTTTATTGAATGTACTCGCCGCGAAAGTCTCAAATCCTGAAAGGCAAAATGTTTTCAAGTGCAAGTCCTTAGGAGTTTGGTAAGATATTGTACATTTTAGACGTTTAAATCCAGAAATATCAGTTCACTTGATTAATGAGGTCAGACTGTGCCTATAGAAAATTATGGTGCAGTGGACACAAGTTACGCTTAAATGAAAGAATTTCGGATTTCATTACCACAGTCAGATTATCCTGAACAACGTGTTTTGCTGTTCCTGCACAGTGCTTAAAGAAATATTTACTTATTTCAAATAGATTTCAGTCGTTAGAAATTACCACCCTAATATCTGTCACAATCTCAAAGTCTAACAATATATGATCACCAGAAGATTTTGTAAGAATGTAATTTACCTTAAATATTTTATCTCATATAGTACGGAGTAAAAAATTTAAACAATTTTTATTATTTCATTTGTAGGCGACAGTACATTGACATTGCTGAATCATCTGCATTCTACGAATGTCTAATCTATATGTTTAGGTCCGCATAGCATCGAGTATTTATGTTCCAATACTTCTGCGTGTATATATTGTTTTCTGAATTGTTTAACACATCTTAGGTCAGTATGATACTACATTGTCTTGCTGGCTGCCCTCAACTATGGAAGAGAATTTGTTAATTTTTATACCTACAGAACGTCTCATTTAGATTGAAAATTCGAGTAAGACCAGTTTCAGGCTTTCAGCAATGGCGAATGTAAGTGGTGTGGATCATGCACATTTAATTAAGAAAGAGCTTTCTTCATCCACAGGAAAATTATCACATATTTATATCACAGCCTGACAAAAATAAAACTGAAGAGAACTAATGGGAACGTGTTAGTGCTCATGTTACAACGTGAATTGGCAGCAACTGGGACAGTTAAAATAGTGTTGGTAATACTAACATGACTAACGAAAGTTCATTTCAGTTGAATTGCTTTTTGAACAGTGTATATAACAATAAAATTGCCACGAACAAGCATATGCAAATTTCCAATTTCTGAAACACGAGAAATTATACAGAGTTGGTGGGAAGTACGTAGGCATTGAGGAATGGTTATAACCTCTATATTTCCAATGCAAAGCGATTATTTAATACCTACTTACTTCCCACCCACCCTGTAGTGTATTTATGTAAAATGAGCATCAGCGAAGTGGGTTTTTGACAATATTCCAAACACAACTTATCACGCTTTACGTTTTAACCAATCCTCAATCCCTCCCAGTCTCCTAATCAACAAGGAATCGGAGCCCCTTTTTCCCGGGGTTGGACTAGGTTTAGTATATCATAATAGGACTTTGCCTTCTTGCCCTATAGAACGACAAATTTCAGTAAAAATTTGTAATATTAAATTTCATTAAAATCAGCTCAGCAATTCCAGAATTAATATGTAAAATTTCTCTTGTAGATTTAGTCCACCTTCTACAATAAAAAAATTACAAAACTACGTTTCGAAAGCTAGATTTTACTTTCATGTTGACGTAATGAATATGACAGAAAGCCTATCTGTTAGGCCCCATGGTTGATATAGCATCAGGTTATTTTTATCAAGTTTACCACATAAGTAATAATTGCGAGAACCATTTAAATTTGAATTTGAATAGTAAGCTAGAGGAATTTATAGTTTTGGTTTTCATAGAAAGGGAAATGTCTCCGTAATAAATTGTACAAATGAAGTTATGTATTTCTGTTTCTTCAGACTAAACGAACAGCTTCAGACTGAAGATAAGAATACGGAGGACTGTTTTAAAGCTTTCTACGAGTTTACCGTGAGTGGCCTGCATATATCATTCCACATCAATCTTCATCATTACAATTTTCCAAATCCGTAAACGTTCTAAATGTTACATGAAGAAGGGAGATGTTCACATCACCCTCAATATTACAATGAGGAGATTAAGTCTATGACACATGACACCCTTTGTAAACACGTTCTCGGCGGAATGATTTAACTTTTCTTGTTGCTTACCTCCAAATATTAGAATATTTGTAAACATTTCTTCTGGTGAACATTCCTTATTCCATGTATATTAAATAAGACGTATCCAGCAATTAATTTAAGCATTTAAATAATCACCGTTTATCAAGTTTATTATGATTCTCCCAAGCTATATGTAATCAAACTCTACCAAATGACGCAGAAATTAAAAGACGACATATTATGGTAAAACAAATATTTTCATTGGTCTTTAAATTCATCACGTTTATGGATTTCACTGCCAGCAAAGGTTCAACAAACGGTAACATGTGATATGAGGTAGTCGGTCGATAATTCGATAATAGCCCTGTATTGACATTTAAGCAGGATGCTGATATTAGTAAAAATAACTTATATCTGCTTCAATATCGGTTTTTGCCGTATTCTCATATTACTTTGCAATATTTTACATTGCCTAAGTGATAATAATAACAATAACAAATATTTTAAAATATTTAAAATTTACGGATGTTTCATAATAATCCGTGAACTTTCTCAGTTACTTTACCAGTTAATACATAACACTCATAATAGAGGCCTATATTAAATATACCCGCATATATCCGTACAAAGGTGCTACATTACAATGTGATTAGACTACACACGTGTATAAAACAATATAACTAATTAGAACTGTTTTGAAATGAAAAATGTGGAACTGTATGGCGGTTAGTGAATAAACATTTTTAAATATGGAAGAAGGCAGGTATGACTTAATTTAATGTAACAAGCTCGCATCTACCTTGAGAGACTAAATAAAACCACGAAAAACTCAATTTCCTTAAATGTAACTGAACATCCCGAATAAAACACAGGAATGCTAAATAGCAGAATGTAACTTTCAGTCCTATTTATGGCACATTCTAATATTACTTTGCAACTTATGCCCAGATCTCTCAAGTTGTCTCATAGCTTTAGAATTTATGATTAAAATTTTATATTCTCATCTCTCCCACGTGCTCTAGATACCTCGCCCATCTCAGAATTATTCTCTAATAAACATTTCGAGTCTTGTAAACTATACAATTTAACAATTATTAACAGTTTAAACTATCAGGTAAGAAATCCGCCCAACATTTACATTGCACAATTGCTGTTTTTGGGTTTAAATCTATGAAATAACAATTACAATAAATATTTGAGAATTCAGCTCAATCAGTCGGAATTTAAATTCATAAGTGCGAAGGATATATCGAAAGAGATAACACATACTGAATAGTACGTTATAAGTCCAATGGACAATAAAACAATATTGAGCACACTGTAAATTGGATAGATTCGCTTTAAAATTACTGTGTTCTTACTCTTCGTCTGAACCGCGATGTTTTCTGTAATGTGTAGGCTATAAGAACACTTGTGGCAAGGTTGTTAATTAAGTAATAATTTCTGCCAGGAAAATTTTATTAGAACCATCACTGACGTAAGACTACAACGACGAGCTTTCGGGAATTTTATAAAGCTCTTTTAAAATCATTCTGTGAACATAAAAAACCGCGACTTTGAATTTCTAGTGGCAAACAATAATACAAATCATATTTTCCCTAATCTATAACATATCCTAATTAAATCACTATATTATAAACTTTCAGACCTCATACAAAAATGTCAAACTTTATTAAGAAAATCTGTATATTACCTACTGGTAACTGAATTGGATTTTCCGAAAATAACAATAATGAATTTTCTTTTGTCATGTGAAATCAACCAACAGATAGTGTATTTTGCTTTACAAAGCAATATATCGAACTACATAGGCCTAAACGTCACGTGTGACGTGTAAATTCTACAGAATCACTATCTTGATAAGTTTGTACATCGACATACAGGTTTCACCTGCGTATTCTAGAAACTAAGCAAGAATTCAAACAATCGTTTGACTCGCCTACTGCTGTGCTTGAATGGATTTAATCAGAAGGAAAGCTTCAGTGAGAACGCAATATTGTTGTCGATGCAAATAGCAGTATCTACTACACTGTACATGGTACCCCTCCCCTCAAACCTCGCATCTTGGAAGAGACAAGTTGTCCCAAAGTTCAGCCTTCTAGGAGTTTCTCAAAGCGACATCAGCCGCTGCCTTCTTCTTCTTCTTCTTCCTTCATCAAACTAACTACCACTCAACTGCCTAATCTTCTGGATTGTGACAACGTGCAAACTTTCAGTACGAAGATTTCTGTCTTCTGGGTTGTTGCGCCCTGTAGTATGGTAGATGTTTACCAACGTTTCAGAGGTCATACTGCCTCCGTCATCAGGGCGATGAATCGCCCTGATGACAGAAATCTTCATACTCACCGCTGTGAAAACCTCAAATCATACAAACTTTCAGTAAATATCATTGTTTTACATAAACATTATGCCCTGTTCATTCACTCTGAGAAATGACGGGAATTAATATTTTTATGGGCGTGTAAATAAAACGTCAGAAGCCCAAAGGGAACGTCATCTGAGCACGCACTATGATATTCCATGATATACTTAACGAAAGCAATAACATTATGGGCTTTAAGTTGGATACAATAATTTTCTGTATCCACGCTCCATGTATATCACCACGGTTGATTTTCCGCCAGGCCTTAAAATTTCATTTTGCAGACACCATTTATTTATTACACTTATTCTAGTTCCTTACCAAACACAGATACCCGGAAAAATCCTCAGTGTCATTCTACAACGAGCCTTTGGATAGTGACGAATCGATAAATCAGGTAGTTGCCTATTTTAATGTACTATCCCGGGATTTATCAATACAAACTCATAAAAACCAGGATAGCATTGTCAGTTCAGCCCGCTACCGGTCTGTTATTCGATCACGTGATTCCCTTGATTAGAACATTAATATACCTGAGATGATAAATTTGCGTCATATTGTGATAAATACATATTTGTTTAATATTAATATACCTACTAACTCCTTAACCACTACATGAAGTCAGGTTTCTTTAATTCGATTACAATAATTTTATTTCATGCGATATTTAGTCGCTGGCTGGCAAGACGACGCCGAGACGGCTCACATAACACCGCGTCGTCGCCTTCGTTCTTCTACACCTTCAGGAGCAAATAGGCAGTACACGAGACAATCGCCTTGCCTGGCGTCTCTTCAACTTATCACCAGCACAAAACAAGTTGTAACTCGGGAAGAAATGGTTCAGTGTGATGTAAACCCTACAGTAACAAAACAGCAAGCAGTCACAGCGTTCTACATGCAACGTTTGGATCATTAATAGTTTGTTTCTGAGTCGGTTTTGGGTCCATTACCATTTTCATGTTTTATTCAATGACGTCACTAACTAAAATTATATAAGGTCGAATGATGGGATTAGTAAAGAATACATTGGAAGGGACTTGGAAGGATGCGTTAGTGGCCTTCAAGAAAACATTGGAAGGGACTTGGAAGGATGCGTTAGTGGCCTGCTTTAAGGTATCATCCCGGCAATGGAATAGAAAGACTGAAAAGGAACACGAAAATTCTCGATGAGGATATCGAATCCCAGTCAAATTAATTTCTTATTTCTTACAATGTTATATTAAAATTACCATTAATGCCATCATTATTATTACTATTTCCACCATATTGTTATTACAGATCGTAGGAAATTAAAATATACGAGGTTGAGATGGCCTTTAATGTCATAACGTTCCTATCAAATTTAGTTAAAATGGGTCAACTAATTCAAAAGTTGGTAGAGGCAGATTCATAGACCACAGGAAAATAGACCAAAAATTGTATTAGGAACAAGACATAATATAAACAATAAAAGTGCAGACCTTCTCGATCAAATTTATTGTTCGGTAATGCAAGTTACCCTTTGGACCCAAAAGAGAAAGATTTATGCAGGATAACAAAATAGTTGAAGCAAAAAGTAAATTACGAATTTAGTCCGCACTGCAAAGAAAACACCACACTTTACCATTACAAAAATCAAATAATCCCTGTCTAAAATGAGAACCATACGAAATCCATAAATATAAAACAAAGAGTTAATGAATGTTGGAGCAAATGATATA